TTTAATTCAATTTTTTATTATAATTTAATTTATGTCTAATAGCGAAGTAATTTTTTTTTGGGTTTAACAATATAATTTTTTATAAAGATAATGATTCTGTCAGAACTCAATGATTATCCTAATTATATTTTAAATTTTTTATATTTAAAATAAGATGTTTATCATGTATTTGATTATGTTTATCCGCAGTTAGTTACACGAAGTCAGATATGGAGCTTTAATAAGTTGTACTCACGCACAATCTACTTGCAATATTAAGTTTTAAGTAATATGCATTAATAAATAGTACTTTACGTATAAAAAGTGGTTTTTAAGAGTTTTTGTCAAATGCTTTATAATATAGTATAGATATAATATAAACATATGTTTTCTACTATTATTACTCAATGAGTCAATGATAATAAATAATTTAAATTAAATTATATATTAAAAACTAACAAAAAAGACATTGAAAAGGTAATTAAAAAAATCAAATATCAAGTTAAAAATTCTACGCATTAGGCTATGACATGCCACATGCTTAATTTGAATTAAGACATTAGCCTTGAAACACGACAACCAGGACAACTGTTGCAGCGAGTCTTTTAGAATAATAGTTTTATAAAACAATTCAAATAAACTAGAAGGGTATTTGCGTAATGCAGCGAGACACATCTCGATTTTAATGTTCTATTTTATTATTTGTCTATGCCGATGTTATAATACGATTTTATGTGTTTTTAAGAAAGCAATAATGATTTTATTTTTTAATAAAATATAAATTTGAATATATCATAAAAATTTGAAATAAATATATCAATGTTAATATCAAATCAATTATTTTTGATTTAATCATATAACATTTTATAAAGATAATAATTAAGTATTTCGTTAGAATTTAATGATTATTTTAATTATATTTTAGATTTTTTATATTTAAAATGAGATGTTTATCATGTATTTGATTATGTTTATCTGTAGTTAGTTACACGAATTCAGATATGAAGCTTTAATAAGTTGTACTTACGCACAATCTACTTGCAATCTTGAGTTTTAAGTAATATGCATTAATAACAGTATTTTACGCATGAAAAAATAGTTTTTAAGAGATTTTGTCGAATGTTTTATAATATAATATAGATAAGGATAAATGTTAAATGCTAAAATGCATTTGAAAAGGTTTTTGAATTAGAGAATGTGGTTTTCGAAGTGGAAAACTAGCATGACAAAAACAATAAGCTTTTGATAGGTTACCCATTATGAATGTCATAAATGAAGACATARAAAAGTAAATGAAAGAAAAACATTTCTAAGAGCACCCACATGGGGCTTGCAAATGGATTGCAAAAGCAATTGCAAAAATGCAATTTTGTGCCACATAGGATTTTACTTGCAAAATTTGCAAGTCAATTTGCAAGCCACATGGCCCAATCCCTTCTCTCCAATTTTATTTTTTTCTTTTAATTATTTAAATAAATTATTTTTATACAAAACAATTA